GGTTAAACAAGTTTTTGCCCAAAAGCAATTGTGAATTACAAAAAAGGGAATCAGGTACAGTACAGATAAAAGAGGGAACTAGTTCAGTACTTAAGAAGTTGTGGGAATGTATGCTAGTGATGATGTAACCCAAGAGACCGGATCTTGCAATGACTGTGACATGGCAGGAGTAAGTGATTACAGAATGATGCCAGGAGACCAGAAGAATATTATTACAATTTAAAATAGAACAATTATATCCAGATAATCAAAGCAGTCATTTGTGAAGCAATACATTAATCCAAAAAAATCAATAGTTAAGCATGAAATAAATCCATAAGAATCTACTGTGCAATCAATAATTACCTTACAACTGTGGTCATATGCAGCAATAAAAATGGATCACACAAATAACTAAAAACTGACGTGAGGGCAGGCCAAGACAAAATGGAAAACAGCACAACTGACAATACACATCACATGCCAAACAAGAGGAAATAACGAATGACATCCAAGATAAAATAAGCACCAGCATCAGTGTCATTTGATGGTGAAAGGGAATTTCTTCTACTTCTTTCTCATCTCCCTTTTTGCCTTTATAGCATCAGGGTTGATTGCTCGGTCCACCTCCTCCATTCCTAGTCTCCATGAAAGCTGTCTGGCCGAACAATCTTTGTTTCTCTGAATCATATTAAAAACCAAGTGTGGGTGATTGGCCCAACGACTGGTTGCCAGTTTTGGACGGGCTGTGTGAAAGGGAATTTAAAGATAAAATCACGGCTAAGCCGACAAACAGCAGAAGGGCCACAAACTGTGGTCGAACAACAAACTTAGAAACTTTGTGTGGACTTTAAAAGCAATTCTCAAGAGACATGATGTGACATCAGAATGGCAGGAAATGATATCGAAGTAGCTCGACGAAATACAGAAGCAACTGCAATGACCTGCAAGCAGCAAAATGGGAGTTGGAACGATACATGCAGGTGGCTGGCAGATGCCACTTTCTGATCCCTGAAAGAGTCTCATTGTAAAGCACCTGAAGAAGGGTGCCTGCGACCGGAAAACAAATTCATAGTGGACACAGAGTGCGGATAACAAAGTTATTGTGACACAACAGGAGTGGTTACTGTCCGGCAAAAGGAGACCAAAAGAACAGTATTACAACGTAAAAGATAACATTTATATCCATATAATCAGGGCTGTCATTTGTGAAGCAACAGACATTAATCCACGAATAATCATATGTAACAGTGTGCAGTAAATCAATCTTGTGTTTTGAACAAAGAACGCATTGTGTAATCATTGATTACATTCCAATAATTTCCACTTCCTTCTAAACATTGCCAAGGTGTACGAACCACTCCAGTACAGTACAGTAGAGTGATTCAGGTAACTGGTAACTTCTAACTGTACAGACAAGTAGGCACGTTATAAAATCTCTATTAAGTTCAGTCTAGCACAGTCTAGAAAATAAAAACAACATCCAGATTTTGAAGGAACGAAACAGCAACCAAATGTAACATCAACTATTTGTCATTTTAACATCAAAAAAAGTATGGCTGGGTAGAAAAATAAGTAATAGATGTAAGTTTTTAGAACACAAAATAATATTTTAGTATTAGGCCTTAAAAATTTCAGAGCAATAAAAGTTGAAAACCAATGTGTTAATTTCATACTAACTAAAAAAAATGGTCTCCTAGTACAAGGTAACTGTCATTTAAAGGATCAGGCATGGCAATATATGATCTTATTTGATGAGGTTTTATTTTAACATTGGGTTGGGCTGGGAATGGTAAATTAGAATACTAAAAAAGTATGATTTTCTGCTACAAGTCAATGTATATGAAAGGTAGGGGCAAGTGTTATACTCACCAGCTCCATCTCCTGTTTCAGCTTCCAGTGCCCCACGCACGGGACGAGAGATGCTCTTACGTTTCGATGGAGAATGCTTCAATGCTGTGACAACAAACAAAACACATAGCCACCTCAACACTCCATCTTGTTGTGGCCTATAACAAGCAACACTGCCAATTCCCAAGACAGACATGCATTTTGGGCCAATCTACAAGAAGCATAAGTAAAGATAATGTGTGAACACCACACATTAAACATCCTTCAAGATCATAACAACTCACAACTTTGTAATTGTACCATGCATTCAGAGCACACGAGATCCCGAGCATGCCTGCCAACTAGTTATGTAATATTTCTGAGTTACATCGAAGAAACACAACAATCTACTTGTTCTATTCTGTGTCAGGTATCTATACTGAAAATTCCAGTTCTAAATATTAAAATAAAGTTAAATGTACTTTAAAAAGGCTTTATTTTTGCCAATTTTAATTTAGCAAATGTTCACTTCAACAAATAAATACTCAAAGTCTGCTGAAGTTCATTATAATGACACTTCAATGCATATAAAATACTTTTAGAGTTATACCCCCAGAGACTTCACTTGTTCAGCAGACGCAAACTGATCAACAGCATAATACAATAATATCATTCTATTAATTATAAAGTAAAATTAACTACAGGAGTTTCTATGTTTAATTTTATGATACTGAGCTGTGACAAAGATGCCACGTATCTACCGGTCTCTTCTCAAGTTGGCAACAGGAACCAGAAAGCATGCTAGAATTTGGATGTAACTGAAATAGTCTTGTGTAGTACCATGCAAAGAGGAGAGCAGGGTTTAACTATAAAACTAGAAAATAACAGAACTATCCAAATATATTTCCTTTGAATATTTTACCAATACCAGGATAGGTACTGTTCTGTCACTGGTACAACTTCATATTCATTTGCTACTCCTACATCAAGGTACCAGTAAAGTTTTGTGAAGGGCCTCTGATCTATTCGGATGAACAACTTTTGCTTCCTGCAATCAACCCATACAGCTCTTCAGACAAAAAATAAAACAGCATCATGCATAAGACATCCAGTCACAAGATAAATTTTATAAAAAGTTTAATTTTTGCACTGCAAAATCAAGGACCATGCAATCTGTGATAAATAGACTGGATGCAAATAAATACTCCACAAAGGATATCACACGATACATAGAAATTCAAGTGCATTTAATTATTTAACAGCTTTATTCCATGGTTCATGTATGCACTGAGGGCATAGTGAAATGTCATTTCTGAAGTACCATTTCCTGTAAAATTAGTAATTTAACACAAAATTACAGTTGACAGCTAATGTAAAAATAATAATTCAACATTTTCCAGGAACAAACAACATTATCACTCTCACACTACCAATATTTGTCATTCGTAACACATCTCAGTTTGTTACAATAAAGTTCAGGCTTAGTTCTGACATGAGGCCAGATAAACAGATATTTAGTTATGCATGACAGTACTCTTTCTTATGATAAAAAGCATATCTGATATTTCCATTTCCTCATGTATTCAAATAGTTTTAATATAATATTCAAATCAAAGTGACTTCAGTTTATCCATCTTTTTATGTCCCTACCAAACTATTCAGAAAGACAAGATAGTTACATCATGGCTGTTCATTACCTAATGTTTGACATTATTTAAGGAATATCACCATAAATAAAAATATTTAACTACAGCTTACTGTCTGAATTAAAAGAACAGACTAAAAGACAATTTTCTGCTGTTGGTAGTATCTGCACATATATTATGCATAACTAAAAATGTTATGAATAATTCTTGAGAAATGGTTTATATGAGTCAGCTAATGAATCTACAGTCTTCGGATTAGTAATGTCAGTGATGCAAATAAATGAGAATTGATTTAATTAAAGCCAAACAGCAAACAGAAATAAAGTATGCAAACATTTCTAATGGAAATCAAGTTACTACCAAGGGAATACTATTGTTATTTCAATATATCACATTTCTGAATACTCACAAAACTGCTTACATTGACTGGCCCATAAACCATGGATGAGGGGGTTGTAATCTAATTAAATTAAACTATGCATGATACTGTTTCATAAACCAAACTTGGACAAGCCAAATCATACTTTCATGATGATCACTTCCAATACTGCAAAATCACCACCAACATGCTTTAACAATTAGTGCAGTAAGAGTCACGAAGCATAAAGACAGTTGTGATTGTAACAGTAGCATATGTGCTCGTTTCAATAACAAGCATGTCTCTTTGTATCTAGTAATGCACATACATGTTTATTTAATATATTTGTTAGACTGTAATAACTAATCTAGCTATTCCAAAACTGACATAAGCTAACCAATAACTGACAATATATTTTTACCCACCCTATCTAAACCAAACAACAATAAAAAATGGCATATGTGCAAAACTACATTTTACATGTGTTTTTAAAGAAGTGAAAAGAGATGTTCATTTATGTTAGTGCAAAATATAAAAAGGTAAAAGTACACCGGTAAAACAATAAGAAGCAAATATAACAACCTTAAAAGATTTCTTATTATGTTAATGAAAGATTCAATTAATCATGCCAAGTCAAATCCATTCAAATAACCATTCAAAATGTTGCTAATATAGGTGAAAGTATCCCTACAAATATTGAAGGTTGTTTGCAATAGTTCTGATGATGACTATTCTGCACAGTCTACACTTTCATAAATTCATAATAAGTCCAAAATTAAAATATCAGTTTACACCAGAGAGATTAATGTCCTTATGCTGAGCAGCTGAACAGACAATATTAATACAAATTCTGCATCAAGTAGCTGCATGGAAAATTTGATGTTTTATTATTATATATTACTGGAACCAACTGGAATCCATATAAACTATTTTGTCCTAGGCAATATCATAAATTCCTGTCCCTGTCAGGAATTTTGTTTGGTTTGGTTAGGTTACATTATGTATTCTAGCTTTACCTAGGACAAATTAGTTTAGAAGGTTTTTGGGTATTTGTGGTAACATATATATATATACACACACACGCGCACACATACTATTGTCCTTGCACAAACACGTTTAAAAGAAATACACACATTATTAATATTACTGTCATCAGAAGCATACATAAACTTCCATATGCAATAATGGAATTGGTTATTGCATTCTCCTTCATTGTAACGCTGTAAATATTAAACATAGACTACAATGATACCCATATTGCTTTACACAGGAAGAATACCATAAGCATAGTTATGTACATTTACCCACTTAAAATATTTAAACACTAATGTTAGTTCTAAAAGCTCTGGTGTGCTATTATTATTGATCTAATACTGTTCTTCACACAACTAAACACAAAGGAAGCTTAGTGGCAGAGAACATTAGAATGTACTACTGAAAGCAATATATAAAGCAAAAAAAAAGCTGCAGCCATAACATGGTATGCAAACAATAAGTTACATTTCCAATAATGTGGTAAATATACAAATGTGAATGTGCACATAAGCTTGCTAATTTTGTGTAATTATAAAAACAGGTCCACCAATGATATATCTACAATGACTTAACTCAAGTTCAAGGGACAGAAGTTCAAAATTTCATTAAAATAATCATAGGATAATAACAAACTTTAAAAGAAAAGCAAAAAATCTGGGAAATGTGTTTATGTTTGCAGTGACTACAGTTGGATTAGAATGAGCATTTTAAAACGTTTACAAATTACAGTTTTGATAAAATGTCATTAAATATGTCAAATATTAAAAAGTAGTACTAAAGTAATATTTAGAATCAAGTATAATTAACTGTTTAAAGCTGAAAGTCATCCAAATATTAAGAATTCAATCCATACTGCAAAGCAACACAACACTTCACCACTATGAAGATCAACTGGTTAACACTGTTTAAGGAAATAATTCCTCTTTACAGTAAGAAGCATAGCAACTCCATAAATACGAACTGCAGCATTACCAATTGCCAAAGCAGATGGTACATATAGTTATCATTTGTCTTTAAAGGGTTAAAATCTTGTTTGTGGTCTTTTAATAATGGTGCTGTGAAATTGATACTGATTTTGTTTGTGCCAAAAGATAACACAACAAAAAACACAAATTAATGTCTGCATTATAATAGTCAACAAAAATAAATGCATCATTCACTACAGGTAATGTACCTCATAAAGTTAAGTCATTGTAAAAGAGGAACCACAACTGACATGCAGGAGATGTAAAGTCCGACAATCCATTACCGACCTATGTAGCTGGTGACCAGGGTGCGAAACTTGCGATGATTGCCTTTAATTTCTGGCAAATCCACTAGTAGAGGAGAGCAACGGAGCGGAGCAGAACGCAGTCAGACAGAGAGACAGACAGATAGTACAGTACAGAAAGAGAAAAGAGGAAACCACATTTACATTTCCTCTGAATTCCAGTGTGTAATCTTGTAAGTCACAGTTGCATATGAATGTTCATAAGATACATATCACCTAAAAATAAACTATGCATTCAAACAGTGCAGAAATTTAATTACCATTTGTTCCATTTAAATACCAGATTTCTAAATAAGATATCTAAAAAAAATTTGTAAAACATGATAGAGAATTTCTTCTTTCATTATGTATGGCCAATACTTATAACTTGGTGTCTCTAACCAAAAGCTGAAGTAATATCACTGGTCATTCATTTTACAGTAGATACAGAAATTGATTGATGAGTAATATGACTTTATGAACTGACCTGAGTACACAGACATGGTAAGTGTTACTAAAATGTTAGGTTAAAGTATCAGGAAATATACACAAGTGCATATACAAGAATTCAATAAAAGGTAATTTAATTATGGAGTCATGTCTTTCCTAACTTTTAATACAACTTATTTTGGTACGCCCACAGAACTATTTGGGCTAATTAAAAAGTGTCTCAACAAAACCTATAGTGAAATCCATATAGGTAAACATCTGTCTCTATGTGAGATTTGAGATTTTCATGGTGGTGAGGACAATGATGACATTCTGCGTTTTGGAGCCATGTGGACTTGTCAACAGATGCCAACATTTTAGCTAAACATGTTGTTTCCACCTTTGGGAATGAAGATGGAGGCAGTATGTATCTTTGTAACGCTGGCATCTACCAACAAGTCTACACTGTGCCAAAACCCAGACGTACATCATTTGTCTGATACATTTAATATTAACAATGGTCTGAAACAGAAAAATGATTCACTGTCATCATCTTTCAACTTTGCCTTAAAATACCCCATTAAAAAGACCTAAAAAAATTCAGGATGGACTGGAACTGAATGGAGCATAAAAAATTCTTATCTGTGGTAATTATGTTAATTTACTGGGGAGACACATAGGTATCACAAAGAGAAACACAGAAGTGCTAATATACACTGGTAAGGAGATTGGTTTAAAAATAGATAGATAAAATTAAAATGACTTAAACATGTGCCAGTACACAGGAACATTTCCAACTTAATGTTTTAGTAGGTGGACAGGAGTTTAAAGAAACAAGCATATTTCTGCCACAAAATCATGACTGTGGTTGGAAGATGAAATTCTTAATAGTGTTCAGCAATCCCCACACAGTAATATGTGAAGAAACACAGCTAATGTCAGTGGTTTCAGAAGTACCAGGTATTGAAATGTGAACTGCCAGAATTCACATATGGTCACAGGGAAACCCTCACTTAATAACAGAAGTGTATTTCTGGCACATTTTTCAATAAATGTCTGGTGTGATAATGTACATGATTCCATACTTGATCCTTTTCTGCTACCACCAAGGCAATATAGGTGCAGGTTATTTGAACTTTCTGGTTAATGACCTACCAATTATCTCAGAGGATGCAGCAATCATAACCAGGAGAGAAATGTGGTTAATGTACTATGAGGTGCCTATGATGGCCAGAGGAACAATGCTGAAGCTAACAACAAAAACAATGGTGATCATTTGTAATTAGTGTGGTTCTTGTCCTTAGGTTTTTGTAGCTGAAGTTCAATGTTAAACTTTGGCTATTGGGGATGAGACACACTGAATGCTGAAATTTATCCAATGTTTCAGAAAACATTCACCTTGAAGATGGCAACTACAATGTTTGCCAAAACAGTGGACACCTCACAAAATTTGACTCAGCTCATCCCTGAAAGCCAAAGTTTTACAACTTAATGTAGTTTGTGACTACTACATATTCAATAATGAGGTTATTTTTTACAATTATGCCAACTCATTCTTTACAATCAATTACAAGTTCTAAACATACTTCATATCTCAATAACTAAGCCCTTTAAGCTCTATATGCATTTCTGCTTTTCTGAGCACAAGATAGTTATATATAATTTAAAACGAAATTATAGGGAATCCTGTATACACCAATGGTAATAATTAGAAATTTAAAAACTTCTGGCCATTTGACTTATTACCTATAACAAAAATGCTTCAAACAACGAACTGAAATATGTCAATTCTGTAATGCCACATCAGTGCCATACTTTTCTGAAAATATGAACATTTCATACCTCATGTAAAACATATTACCCAGCAATATTATGATAAGCTTACAAGAATGCAGAATGGAATCCAGGGAGGAATACATTTACCATCATCTGTCAGTATGTTACCAGCAAACACAACATATAATACAAATTAATCTGTACAAAAACATCAAACTTTGAATCATCAATAAAGAACTTCATCAAAAATTGCTTGTACCATTATGGAATTCCAAAAGTAATAATACTGTTCAACCATATAATGAGAGCACAGTCATAGAAGCCTATGCATTTATAAGTCAACCTATAAATCTGTAATATTCTATAAATAACCCACAATGAAACAACCAAACAAAACAGTATAGAATGCTATAAGAAGAAACAACACAGAATTTAAAGAACTTTCCTATGGTTAAATATTTTTTGATTATTATGAAACTAGAGACAAACCTGAAAACTGAAAAAGTAGATCTGTTAAATACATGCACAATTTCTATTGGCTTTCCCATTTAAAATAAATGTAACTGGCATTTTAATAGAGCTGCTTTTTGGTTTCTTGTAAGAAATTTCTGTATCATGTGTACAAATGGTATGTTCTACCACTTGCTCCATTACTATCCCATATTTGGCCCCCAATAATAAACTATATTATTAACTGATTCAGACTGGTGACAAAGATTCTGAATTAATACTATTACTGCAAAAATTATACATTCTGAAACTATTCCAATGTAATAATACAAATCTTTACTTCAGAAAGAAAAATAAGTTTACTTTCTGAGGCATAAAATAGATTATCTCAGTAACAGTGAACTTAAAATCCAATTCAATAACCCATAATGTTCACATAACAACATTACATAGAAGCACATTTCATTGAACAGATCTGTAATGTAAACACAAACCTAAGCCAATTATAACTTTATAATTTGTATTACCTACCAATGGATTAAAATATTAAAGGCAAAACATGTTTAAAATTTATTACAATGGAAGAATGAACTTTATAGGGGAAGGCAATTAACAATGTTCTAAACACAGATGTTGATGTTTAACACATAACCTGAGCAACATAAATGTTAACACAGAAATATATGACATTGTGTACTTAAACACAAACCCAACAACACAAGTAATCTTCTTTATACACCATGATTTACACCAGTCATGTACTCTATGAACAAATTCTCATATTATATTATACCTTTTCACAATGTCAAAATGCCCCTTCAGTTTCTCAAGACAATGTTTACTTTTACAAGAGCTGGTACTTGCAAACTTGAGTTTCATATCCACAAATCTGATTGATTCCTACCATTTGTAGAAACTGGGGGTTTCACAACAGTGCGAGTTAAGACTGGTCTTCTGCGTTGCTGCACTATGCGGTCTTGTATCTGCATACCGTTTTGAAGGATACTATGGCAGGTGCACTCGCTAATTTTTAAATATTAGTGAATTACAGTCAATTCTGTTATGTTGTACTGTGTGTCAGTTAGGTGAAAGTGAGGATCCTAAGTAAGATGGCTGAATTTGTAAGGAAACTGTACCAACAGCAAAACAGATGCTTGCATTAACTGAAAACTTAACAAATGGAGAATTGGCAACAGAATTAGCAGAAGATTATGAGGTAGGGATTGAGTGACTGAGTCCATAAAACAAAATTACAGGGCTGACCTTCTCTGAACTTTTGCTGATGAAGATGACAACCTATTAAAAGTATAAGAAAAAATTATGGTATTGCATGCTATATATGGCATATCTCAGGCATGGTCTTCCGTGGATCCAGTAATGCTGGTTTGATCATGGAGGAAATTTCTCCACATCTAAAATATGATGATCTGCAGGGTTTTCCAAAAAGAAGAAACCAGAAAATCTAAAATTTTTGACATGGAGTGTGATATGAAAAGTTTTGAAAACACTAGTGAAGACAGCACTGAAGAATGGCTACAGTGATGTGTATGACGTGGGCTTCCAGCATATGACAGACAGACATTGTCAATGCTGCCATGAAACAAAAGGAAAAAGAGGGTAGGGAGGATGAGAGAGAAATTCATACAGATGTGAGGAGCCTGAACAGCTCATTAAAACAGGCAACCATTACAAACTATTTCTCAAAATAAATGTTGGTTGTGTAAAAAAAAAATAAAGTAATTCATGAAGTTCTGTGACTGCACCAAACCAAATACAGTGGAACCTCAATATACCGCACCTCATTATACCACGGACACGGATATACCACGGCTGTGATCATGTCCCCCAATACTATTACTTCACATATAACACAGGTACTGAAGCTGTCCCTCAAAACCCGCGTTATATCTACGTTCCACTGTATTTCTGATTATCCGTTTTAAATTATTCATGTCTTCTCCCCATCACAAGCCCAGATAACTGGGAGATTAAATTACTTATTAACAAAGGTGTAGGCTACTTGCTTATTAACCATTACTGATGATGCATCACAACTTACAAGCAATCCAGATGACTTTGTATCACATTAGCATACCACTAAACTGCTAATGCCAGTTATAAACCGGCCAGAAGCCCCACTGTGCAAGGGTTTAAATCCCCTATTCCCATATGACAATGGTCAACAACAATGAAATAAGGGCTCAAAATAAAACTCAACTTGCTTAATCTCACTTATATGTCTTAAATCTGATTCCAATTTCTACTCACACTTAATGATTCAATTCAACTTCAGAAATCTGGAAGAAATCCTGAGCCTTCAAAACTCTTTAACTTCTTATAAGTCAGCTATAATTATTGTTACCCAGAAAAATCGGGAAAAATACAAAAAGAACAGCCTCAAGTAAACATGATATGTTGCAATTTTTCCACTTCAGTCATCCAGCTCCATTGTGAGAAGTCATGCAGTTGTTTTATATTTACATAAATTTTCAATAACAACCACAGCTAAAAACAGTGCTTAAAAATACAAGCATAATATACTCACAGTTATGAGAAGATGAGAAAATGATAGAACAATGTAAAATCGGTGGAAGACTTGTGGTATCAGAATTACATTATTCACAGTACCCAAGGCAATGTAACAAGTATGTGAAATTAAATATAAAAAGTAACACCAATAAATAAGATCTGAGGTTCTCACAGCATTTATGACAGTAATGTTGTTCTTCTGGGTTCTGATGTTGTGTAATCAAGCAGACATATCAGCACTTCAGAGAAACACACCATCTCCATCTTCAGGGCTGTAGATTTACAGGCAGATACCAACATTTTGAAGAAAAATACTGTCTCTATCTTCAGTCCTGATGGAGAAAATATGTTTCTCCAAAACACTGGTACCTACATACAAGTCCACACAGCATCACAACCCAAAATAACTATACTATCAAGTTCATCAAATAGCGAGAAGAGGAAATAAAAATGATTTTCCAAACTGATGAACTTCAGTTAATTCAACAGAAGTGAGTACAATGGTTCTGCACAGTGGATATACACATACATAACAAATTTAGTATTCAATTAGGAGAGAGTATTGCACATTAAACGAATTATTCTAAGCATTTTCAGTTTACAGTGCAAATGAAGATCATTATTCCCCACTGCTACTTAATTTACTCTACACAGTATGCTACCAGGAAAGTTCATGAAGATCAGAAGAGGCCAGAACTGGATGATCTGCTTTCATAAAATCCTTGTATAAGATTATGATGATAGTAATTGAACAAATAAATGAGGAAATATTGAGGAAAAAAGTGAATTCAAGATTTGTTAACATTCAGTCAACCAACTAGTATGTCCTTCCTCGCCTGCTTGCCAGTACACATACAGTTGATGCTAAAGAGCTTCAAAACCTTTAGGGAGAGCCCTATCTTGAATCCAATAGCACTAAGAAGCCCTCAAACACAGTAGAGTCCAAAATACTGTCCTTCAGAAAATATGTATTTTTGCCAACATTTGTACAGCTATATGAAAAATCACTAGAAGCCACCATTTGCAACTTAGTGCACTGTAATCTTCAAAGCCACTTAAACCTCAGACATATTCTTGTAGCAATGGCTTTTCAGCCAGTCCTTCATTAATGGTAACCAGTAAAAATCAAACAATAGAGTATGGTAGGTGGAGAAGCACCATGTACAATGCTTGATGAGTTGTGACTACAGCAACAAATGTGCCAGGTCACTGTCACACAGGAACACTTGTCTTAATGAACCATATTTCAGAATGGTCCAGGCAAACTGTCTCTGGTAGACTAGAGAGTACCTCCTTGTACCTCTCCTCACTGAGCACAGTAGCCTCAGAATTAAATTATGGTGAATGATGCACTGACAGTCAAAAAAGACTTTTGATATCACCCTGGTTTTTTTAACAGTTCTGCTAAATCTCATGGCTTTTGATAACAATGGTGACATCCACATGAAAGACTGATTTACTACAGGGATTGTACAGAATATACCAGGTTCCTTCACCTGTGATGATCCATCAGAAAAAGTCTGAACTATTATCTGTTGTGCTAAATATCTCACCACTGATCCTCATGCAGTCAACACATTGTTCCAACTTCAGCATCCTTAGTTCAAGATGCTGGCAAATGCAATGCATATTCAGATCCTGACAGAGACAACTACAAACTTAAATTATTTCTCTGCAATTATATCCACTACAGGACAGCAATCAGAGTGCACAATCTCCTGCAGCTGCCTCACAGTATTTTGTTTTGGAATGCTGCAAGCCACCAACTTCATGATTTGACCTCCAGCAATTTGCAACCATCCTTGAATCTCTAATGCCACTCAAAAACTTTGCACCAAGATATCCTTTGTGGACCATATAAGGTCTGAAGCATATGCAGAATTTTCCATTAACAATTTCCCAAACTGCTGGCAAAAGATAATGTTAGCTCACTCCCCACAATAATCCATACCCCTCAATTTGTGTTGTGATCAATTATTTCTTAACCTGAGTAAAGAATATTTACAGCAAATATTCCAAACCAATTAAATAAGGAAAATATATTGGTTTCAGGGAGAATGACTAGTCAAGAATACAGGAAAGAGGAATGTTACGACTTACACTCCTTGCATTATATTAAAGGAGTGTTAAGGTGGTTATGATGGGACAAACATGTAGCTCAGATTGAAAAAAGTGATTAGACTGCCTCAGAATTAGATACATACATGGGCTTCAGTGTTTGGAGTATTTATCCTTCATACTCTCTTAGTTCACAGAATTAATGAGACTGCAGAGGAAATGGTCTTTCTCCAGTAGTCAAGGACAGTTAGACAAGGTATATACATTATAAATTCATGCTCAACATTACCTTCTGAAAAGTTTACGTGATGAAAAATTTATAAAAATAAAGCAATACTCCTTTGCAAAAGCTGTCCAAAGCAATCAGTACAGAATAAATTCCTTTTAATGATAATATTTGTATGAAAACTTACTGAACCAAATAAAATATGGTAATGAAAGTCTGTTAGAAGCTGATGCTTCCAATAACAGCTTTAAAAAGACTTCCAGTCCTCTACCTGACCAATCAGCAAACATGAACTTAATTCTGTTGCTTCCACTAATAGGATGGCAGTAAGAACAGCAAACAAACAAACAAGACTTACATTTTTATAGTGGTTTCAAACCACAGAGGGCATAGTATTTTCCACATTCCCAGGTTTAACAATCAACAGAAATGAGGGCTCTGGATTTATTAAACTAATGGATGAAATTCAATAATCAAAGCTTATTCTAAAACTAATCATCAGGTGGTAATATAGGTTCTCCAGGATACAAATATAAACTTTAAAGTACTTCTTGCAAATGTCCATGTTTACTAAAATCTGTATATTCATGTGTCAAAATTCTTACAGCACACTACTAACTGTAAGTACCCCAACCAATCACAAATTAAACAAACACAACACATACAATTAACCTAAATTAACTCTTAGCATTAATATAAAAATCTAATATTTTACATCCATTTTGGATTCCCATATTTATGTCTATTGAAATGTTTGACATGATGCATAAGGAATAATATAAAGAGCAAATGGAAAAACCTACTTTACATGTTAGTAATTATAAAACTAAGCAACTGAAGAAACTGTGAAATAACACATAAATTAATGGCTGGCAAACATCTGAGTGAAATTCTAGGAATAAGAGGCACAAAATTACGGCTTAATGCAATCTTATAGATTATGGTCATATCTGTTCAATCTACAAAACTCTACAGCTGTAACTTTTACTTTCAAGTTTAAATTAACTTGCCTAACATGATCAGTTTCATAAAGCTTCCTACAGTACATAATATTAAAATTACAATACAGTTGTCTCAAAAGGCAATTTAACTTGCACATTCCTTGGACAAATGTATGGTTTTACAACATACAAATAAATCCTTCCAACTCAATTCCTGGCTCTACATGCATGTATTTCATGTGATGTTGCCTCAGACAAAAGAAGGTAAAACAATGACTTGAACTTCAAATTGCTGTGGCACCATTAAGTCCACCAAAGCACAAAAGTACCGACTCATTTCTCCCTTAGCAATATCATTTAATTTCAGACAAAAGAACTGAAAATGGTACTTACGTGAAGGAATTTTCTTGAATACAGTCTTAGCCATGAAGTCTTGAAATCTCTGTGCATAAAATCCTGGCCGATGAACAGAAACTGTATCCTGTAAACATTACAAAATAAATTACCGTTGTGAAGGTAAAATATTATTATAGGTAAAATGTACTGTATGGCAATGAATGCATCATAAAATTTAAGAATTATTCTTCGATGTCTTCCTTTGTCTCTGACACAAAATTCTTACATCAACCAAAAACAATAAATCACCAATCAAAATGTAACCAAAAATACTGAAACTTTTGTATTAAAACAATGGGATACCTGAACAGATGTAAAATATAAATAATGCTGTCATTTAAGTTTCAAGCAGTTTTCTTTTTGCAGTAGTTAGCAACATGAAAAAGAAGTAAAACTTACCCCATCATGAATCATGGCCTTCCATGTATGCTCAAGCTTCTTTTTTAGCCGATAACTCTGAAGAATATCGATGATTCCAATAAATAATAGTAACCGTTCACCCCGTGAATTCCGTGCGGGGATTCCACCAGGTCTGCCACAATATACCAAAATATTAAGTTACCATAATCTACAAAATAAAGGGGGACAGACATTTATGACAATTTTCAACACTCTCAAACTTGAACTTAACACAAATATACACATACACACATGTAGACAATGCATATGAGTGCACACGTGTGTGCCTGTATGGACATATATCAGTGTCAAATAAGATTCCAACTACTAATACAATTTTAATGGGGACTAAGAGTAATGCAACATTAATCCTCACATACTAAACACATTGATTTTTACAGCAAAGTTTCTTGGGGGGGGGGGCCTTAATGCAGTTTCAGAGTAAACGCAGAATTAGAGCTTCTGTAACAGCTGTTTACTTATTTCCTAAATGATTCAAGGAATACAACTTTATAGCATTGCTAAGTTTTAATCTTCAAGAACTAAGCAGCAATTTCTTCAAGAAGGAATGTCAGCATCAGTACAAATAAAAATAAATCATCACATTAACATTACATCAAGGCTTCACATTTTGTGCCAATAAATATATATTAAGATAAACAAAAACTTCTGCATCCGAAGGATATAGCGATTTTATTGTTACAAGTGAGAGATGCCATTTTTTGGGTTATTCAGTTATTAACTTACACTGTTCAGTTGCAGAGATTATGTGGCATGAAATAACATTACAGGATGCTCAATGTGGTGAAGTGAAATGTATTTGGGCCAGGCAATCAAGGCCTAATTCATGGTACTACCACAGCATTTGCCTGAAGTGTCTGACAAAAGACACAAAGACCTTATTAAAAACAAAAACTGAGGTCATGTCTTTACAAATAATGTGCGTCACCATTTGTAGTACTATGTTGAGGTACCAGATTTTATTTACACCAATTTCAATTTATTTAAATTTATTTAATAACAATGTTATTATAATCTGTCTATTCACAGTGCTTGTATTCTATGCCACTGTTCTTGAAGTTTTACTTTCCAGTCAATAGACAATAACAGTAAAATTATAAGGCTGACGACACAGAATATGTTTGAAGATGGCTATATTCTGGGTTGTTGCAGACAGACATCTTTGGACTCACCACCGTGTAAACCTCAAATTCTACTACAGAATATGTTCTGAACAGACATTACAACAAAATTATCACAACATGATGTTTACATACAATATTATGATAAAATCACTATTTAACTTTTACAATAACTACTTTCTTTATTGCAGTCCTTCACAATTACAAATCACAAATCTTGATCATTCAATCTTCTGCATAGTTCCCACACTGGTATTAATCCCTCCCTGCTTTATGCATGTGGTAGTTCCCACATGCATAAAGTCTAAAAAATATCCTTTCCTCTTGGTTGGTCCCTTACATCTTGGAGAAATTTACCACTTTCTCTAAGACCATGGTGCACAAAGCTAAAAACTCACCCATCTGGCACTCTACATTAAAGAAACCGCTGTTGATTTTCCTCGACTGCTGCTCATGATTATCTATGCAATATCCATAAATGCAGTGAATATGGGCATGCTCTTCATTAGAAAAGTGACCAATGCTACTGCTTGTTAACTTCACTCCAACAGAAACAAAAGATGTAGAAAGGAAGCAAAGAAAAAAACAGCATTACTTGCATTTTGCCAGCAATAACTGATTTCACGGTACCCACAGCAACACTCCCTCCAATGCAATGTAATGGTGGAGATCCAAACACAGACAAAATGACATCACTGCCTGAATAGACTTATTCTATGTAATTCCAACAGCAGCCTTAAAATGCACATATCTTCATAACAAAATATTTTGGGAAAGATGTTTATTGGGCTTTTTTTGACTCAAATTGAGCTAGAAACATGTCCTAATGTGGGACACCCCATACACAAAGCAATTTCCAAGGCCAGCACTAAAAATATGCTGTAACCAAAGTCAACCTAATCATAAATTTTACATATTTACATGGAGTACAAGGTTTCATTGAACCTGGTGGACCTTCATTTGTAATTGATTACAATACAATAAACTACAGTAACATTCAGTTTGAATTAATAAAGATTTCATGGTGACTAGAACAAACATTCATCATAAATAGAGTAAGAGTAATGGAGAGCTGAGACAAAGGCATGAATCTCAGCTCTCCATTAGACTATCTATGTAAAATATAGCATCACCCAGTTAAGGTAATGTGTATGTGAGACATTAGAAACATATCACTCAGACATTTACTATATTTGAAAAGGAGCAGAACTCAATAATTATAACATATGAAGTAGTCTGCACTTACGGAACATCGTCCTCCTCATCTATGGGTTCACTCTCAGCCTGAATACTCTCCATAGCCGTAGAATGTGCAACTAACCGTTGCCTATTTATAGACCGTGACCGATTAAGAGCAGCAGCCCCTCTTTCTCTCTCCTTGTCTTCAGCTGTGATTTCTTGGTCTTCAGTATCTACAGATTCGAGCTGTGGGTTAGCTTTCTGTTCCTGTTAAATGTTAATTTCAAACTGAATTAATTAAATGTATATGCAAAGAATATCCAAGATGTAGGATTTGAGATTTTCACGGCAGGAAGTCTGAAGATGGCAGTCTTCTGGCTCATCACTCTGATGATGGAGATAGAAAGGACCTCTGAAAAATAGATAAACTTCTACCAGACTGCATGGCGCAACAACCCAGAAGACAGCCACCTCCAATATCCAAGATAAAACATGAAGATAAATTATATATAGTAAATGAAAAAGGGAGACGAACATGCAGTGAGGACACATAGTGGTACTGATATAGAGATAATACTGTCTTTCGTCTGTCACTTCTCTGGTGTTCTTAATCTTTTCTCTCATAAATCACACAAACATACACAAAGTCACATTAAGCAATTCATACCAATTTGTCTGCAATTTTTGTGAAAAACATCCAAACTGGATCATGAATCCAGGCAGACTTGTAGGTTGCCACCAACATTTCTAAGAAACCTGGCACCAACTTATACCCTAAGGATGGAAGATGCCTTCACATGTATACCTATGTAGTCAAAGACATGTGTGAATTAATTAAATCCTCTCTGTCAGGAACTCAAGAAGCAGCCATAAGTATTATGACATCTGACTCACCACTTTATCTTTGGCCGCTTGATCTAAATTATGTACTCCTACCAATAAACTGTAGTCCATGATCTTGAAACTTTCCAGTACCTGAAGCAGAGTAAAGAATCCATGAAATATTATTTAAAATTTACAAACATAAAATGCAATTCATTTCACAGCAAACTTATAATGACAACTTTTAATAATCAGTTGTCTTAACAAAATTAAAAGAACACAGTAAAATTTCTATACAACAAACAAACAAATTAACTAATGAGCCCAGAAGAGCTGTGATAATGTGTACTTTTACAGATAATAAGGCTTAAAGAACTCCAAAAACCAACAAATCAGATTTTTTTTCACACTTGATACGGAATTTTATGCAGCGTAATTAAAATAACAATTGGGGTCCATTACTCTCCAAATCTTAAACTCTCACAATGATGAAGTCAATATACTATTACAGTTACAAAACTTACCCACACTATGGCTATGTAAATCCTGACTTGCAAAACCATATAAGGCTTAAGTTTTGCAATTTAAAATAACATACAAAAATAGTTAAAGAACTTTTTAAAACAAACAAAAATGCATTCTAAAGTGTAATTATATTACAAACTATTCAACAAGAAAATTACATTACATTTATAGACACGAGAAAGAACCATCAACAGTTCATGAAATCATAACCATTGAGAATTTACATAAAAATTCTCAATGTACAAAATGAGAACAAGAGAAGAAAAGAATATTGTTAGGCAAAACAAATCACAACTCTTTTTTATTACTTATGTATACACACATCACAAAACAAAACAAAAACGCAGATGGACCAAATTCCCTGGAAGGCATCATCACCAAGATACAGGCCCACAAAGTAGCATCAAATGGGACAACAGTCCAACCCATCACAGTAGCACAGAAACTAGTGGTGACACTGATGCATGGCAACAGCCATAATTATACAGATGATGGCTGAATGGCGACAAAAACACCAGCACATGATACTCTTGCATTAACAAGTGTATCTGACTAAAAAGTAATATACAGAAAGCATGCATACAGTGTGTCGTACAGAACACATGATTAGGTGCAATACAATCACGTAATGCATATCACGTGCTGACAGGCTACATGCAGTACATGACATGCATTGAGGGTGGTAATTGCATCAGGTGTTCAAAGTGTAAAATGTACATTCACCAACATGTGACCTCACTTTGTGGAACACTGACTTGCACCTACCATAAAATATCTGTAACAGTAGCCACACAGTACCAAGCAATTTTGCTGCCAAGTCTTGTGTTGGATAGCTGATCCCTGCAAATAACCTCCATCGGGTGCCCCCAAACAAATAAGTCCTGCAGTTTCAGTCCAGCAAATTTTACAGGCCACAACACAAGGCTGTCACATAAAATCCATCTACCAGGAATATATATTAAAATGCAGTTGAGAAAGCACCCCAAAATCAGTTGGTGCCCATCATGCTGAAGCCACATATCATGGCAAACAGCCAACGGCACTGGTACAACTTCTTGCAGATACACACAAAACTACGGGCCAGTGAGATGGAGGGGGAGTATGTATAACCCAATCACACTACTGCCAATAATACCAGACCACACACTGATGTGCTAGAGAACTTGGTGGCTACTCTCACATCATGCTATATGGCAATTTTCCTGTGCCCACTAGTGGTTGTGCACTTTTAACAGTACCTTGATGGGAAAATGTTGCCTCTTCCATCCACAAGACATGTTCAACAAATCAGGAACATAATCATGTTCCCATAAAAGTCACTTGCTGAAGATGAGGATGATGATCATGAGGCCTTAGTCCTATGTGTAACTGTATGGGTACAGGTCATGGACCTGGAGGATTAAGTTGATAGGGCGATGGTCCACGTCCAAACTGTCAGGCACTCCCACATGTATTATATTATTGTGTAGATCCTGTGCTACCATATCCAGAACAATCTCTTCAAATACTGGTGGTTGGCAAGGGTGTGGCTAACTTATATCCATAGATGGCACTGGTAGGACACTGTCACCCTCCCACATTCTCTGGTCCAGCTGGCAAAACACACCTGTGTACAATAGGCAGCGTGCTAGGTACATCTGCTGCTGCATATTCCCTGGCTATAATGTTAGCCGTTATCACACACACAGAACATACAAACACCAAGCATCAGGTAAATATCACAACATTCATTCAGGATGTACTCCATTACATTTCCACTTCCCTGCTGATAAACTACTGTCAAGTACGACTGTACAGTACACATAGCATGTTGTCACAATGTTTGTCGCTGGTGACCGTGGAGTAGGTAATGTATGGCCTTCAGCTTTAGTTGAACACACAGTGTGAATACATTCTCACCCCATCTGACAGTACTATCTGGGCCTGTATCTCAGTGAAATCAGCTTCCAGGGGATTTGGTAAATTTACAATTTTGTTTTGTTCTTTGATGCTGTACACATACCCATTACTTGCGGTGACCAATATGTTCACATCATATGTGTGTGTGTGTGTGTTTTTGTAAGTAAGTAAGTATGTATGTATGTATGTATGTACGTATACACACACGTACACGTGCACATGCACATGCACACACACAAACAAACACAAAAGTTTTAAGTTAAATGACTGACCCGACAGTCCCTTTGGATGGTTTTTATAAGTGCAGAGTATGTGTCACCCTCCAGTCCAATACCTTCTGGATGATGATCAATGAAATCAAGGTCCTTATATGTTGGAGAGTTCTTCTGTCTTTCTGTTTTAGAAGCCTGTAACAAATCAGCATAACAACAATGTAGTTAAAAATAACTCAACAAATTCAGGCATCAGATTTAAATTCTGTAAATGTATTTGATGATGGTGATGCATTATTAATTACTTTGTTCTGAACTCTATCTACTGTCATTTGATTATAATTATCACAGCATTCACAAGGATGGAGTTTCCTTTGACTTTTGATACCTGAAGAAGAAGGAAGATTCATCCTTGTGATTTTATAATTGTAATCAACGTACGTTATACAAAGTCCAAAACAAAGTAATCAGTAATCAGACTTGAATGATAAATGAAGTACTGATATGATCCTTGGTCTGGTACAGGCAGGCATCGACTTTTTCTATGCCTTTGCTTCTGTTGGAAGTTACTTTGGGAATGTGGACAATACCATATCTCAACTATGGTTTGGTTTCTGAACAGTCACCTACTTTTTGAATGCATATGAATACCATGATGTAAATGTGCAAACATCTTTTAGTTGGTCGCAACCAAGTTTCGAATACATAATGCACCTCCCAGTAAGTACAAAAGTAGATTTCACTGAGTGCTGCTTTTAAGGTTCCAAAAAGATAATAGTGGCTTGGTATGACAGGTACAACAAGACTTCTATGGCCAGTAGGACTTAACATTTTCATGGTAGTGAGTCCAAAGGTAGGCTGTCTTCTGGGCTGTAGCACCATTTAGTCTGGTACAAGATTTCTACCAGACTAAATGGTGCTACAACTCAGAAGCCAGCCATCTTCTATGGATAGTTTCTTCAAGGTTTGCATGGTCTCATAAAAGAATGAGTCGTGCTTAAAGCAGCCACCTTTGCACAGTATTCCACAGCAATTCTACATAATGGCAGGCTTTTTAGACTCTTCTTCAGAAACTTGAAATGTTCGTCATGTATTGCAGATCTGTAGGTTATCATCAACTTACCTTTTCTCATATTATGATTTGCAATCAGTCAAATGTCCTTGTATGTTTCTCACCTTGCGTTTATATGTAGATCCCTTTAAGTCATACTTTTGGTGTAGCTTTACAGATGAAGGCAACAAGTTGTTCATTGCTACTAATCGGACATTCTTTGAATTACACTGGTAGCAATATAACCCAAAAAACTTTGGTAACAATGTACGTGGATTCTGGTTCAGGTTCTGTCAACAGAAGTGATACAGATAATAGATATACTTCACACAAAATGGAAAATCAAACATGAAAATGTAGTTAGTATGTTCAGAATACTATATGCAAAATTACATTTCTATAACATAGACCATAAAACCTCAAGTTAGAGCCATAAAAAATAATCTTATAAAGAGTTCTAAATCCACATACAACAGCTATTTGTGAGTACAACTATTTATGAAAAAATATTTTACACAGACTGCCAACTGCAGCTGGGTGATAACTATCAAACCAGAAAAGTAATCCTACTTTTCTTACACAAATTCAAACCTCTATATCACCTGTTATTTGCAATGATATTATAAAACATGGATCAGGTCTTTCTCAGCAGCTAACTAACTAACATTTCTTGTTATGGAACCTTAAAAGTTCTTGTATGATCTGAAGCTTTCATGGTGACAAAGTTTAATGAATTCTTCTTGGGCTACGAGCCATGTCAGGTGGTTGATAGGTGAAAACACGATTTTGAGAACCATATTTGTCCTTGTGCTCAGGGTACCGAAGTGGTTGGAGATCCCGTCCACACTCTATATATACCTGTCCAAACCCAGCTTTCTGATTGGCTAACATGTTCGTCACTGGGCATGTGAAATCCCTGTCTCTGTTAAAGTTGCCAGAGTTCAGTCAAATTTCAATTGCTTCCTTCATGATGCAGTCCATATAACCTGCTGTCCTGTCCAATACAGCGGTACTGCTGGATTCAATGCGATGCCCTGTGTTTATGCTGTGTCATATGAAACATATATCTCACATATTGCACAGGGTCCATAAGATAAGACTGACATTCCTATGCAAAGAATAGAGAGGTCTTCAAGGCCATAGGTATGCAGAGCATGAGCATCTCAAATTTGTTTGAGTAGACCACAAACAGTATTATCCTAACTAGACATATGAACAATAAAACTTCAGAATTTACATCATTAAATAGGCTTACTATACTGAACTTACCATATAATAACCTGGTAAAAGTTTCTGAAGAAATTCACCTTCCTTATGCTGCACAGTTTTAATAATAAATTCATCATCCTCTGTCAAATAAAAAATACTTCCACTAGCACCAGGATTTGACAGTTCTATAAGAGGTGCACTACACATTGAAATCTGAAACAAATAAATACAGGAAATGTGTATGTCTCTGCCACTGACACTATTCTTTATTATTCACAAACTACATCTTCAAAATTGTAACATCACATAATTATATTTGTTGTGCATGTAACTGGCCAGTTACAAAAGCAAACTTTAAGAACCATGATATCAAGCATTCCATAAAAATTATAAGCAAAATATAACATATCCACATATTCTGATCCACTTCTGACAGACTTTATAGGACAAGAGTTTTCAGAAGATTTAATTCTGTTAGCTCTGTAAGAATTTTCAAACTCCTTCTATTGCCAAAAACAGGTTTCCCAATCTAGACACCTTCACTCTTGCATCACCCAATATTTCTCCTTCAGTTTCCTCAAAGCCTGAGTTTGTCATAGAAAACCTCAAACACCAAAATCAGAAACATCTACCTAACTCCTACTGTCACAAATACACTCTTCTTCATCAAGAGAATGTTTCAAAATATCCAATTATCACATGTTAAAATAAAATACTGGTTATAATAAAAACTTATTATTAATCCATTTTTGAGCTTTAAAAATATGGAGATGTATGAAATAATTCTGAAATTACCCAACACATATGCATTACACGACACAACCAATTACCAACCACATGTAATTTTGTCTACATTTTCCTGCTGCTCACTAATGTGTCCCTATACCTCTTTCCTCATCCCTCCCTCTTATTTTCTTAACACAAATAATGCAATTTTTATGCTTAAGAAATAAATTTTGTTCTTGAATGAAAATAAATACGTATAAAAAATTCTCACCGCCCAAAGTTGTTGGTATCACTGATGGCAGGAAATTAGAAAGCACAAAAGTAAAGAAGTGGCCTTCAGTGGCATAATATTCATAGTTTCACAAAATCTGTTAATTACTCTAAATGTTACCAGAAGGAACATACACATGAATATATCACAAGCCTGACAAGGCAAGTATGCCAAAAAGAGTGTGAATGACATATTTTTGGGAGTTTTATGCCTGCAAAATTCTATTAACACTGTTGAAATCATTCAATTAAGGTAAAGAATTCAATTTAGCAATAGGTCACCACTTTGTGATAATTTTACAGAGAAATGATCTATAATCAATAATTAGCAATGATTGAAAACAAATAAACAAAATTACTTCTGTCTGATATTGAAAGGAATAACATAACTTAATGTCTGATCACTCACCAAAAAATCATCAGGCTGTATACCAAATAGATCTCGGAAGTATCGGAATGCAATAGGAGCATATGTTCTAAATCTAAATTCTGAATAATGATGAGCAGGTGTATGACTTGACCCATCACTTGGAAAATTAGTTGTTTCTACTGTCATGAAATCCTGCATGAGAAGATCTCTTTCTGGTTTTGATGCCAGTCCACCCACTGCATGCTGGATACCAAGTTGTATGGAACCCATAATTTGAGTTGTTTGAATCTAGACATAAAAAATGCTTTTATTATAAGCAATTAATACACACAACTAAGCATATTACAAAGCTATATTCTCTTTAGAACAAAAATAAGATTACATACCTTTTTGTATGTAATTTCTCCACCAACACCAACACGCCGATGCCCAATCTTCCGCTCTCTTTCTGATTTGTGGCGTGTGATGCCAGTTGGTGTCTTGGGCCCACTGGATGCATTTGTAGCTGCTGCTGTGGTCTGAACACACGGAAAATTAAAGATATCTTAAAAAAAGATCCCCATGTCCTCATACAGTCTTTGTGGAGACAAGTGTCCAAGAAATGTACAAAGATTTTATTTAACACTAAATTTTGTTACACATGTAAACTGGTGCTAAACAAAAGCTGTGACTTCTTCTAGATGTAATCTTGGCAGTGGCCCCTCCTCCAACTTCCTGGCCAAAATATAAGGTATCAACACTCCACTTCTTCTCTGTAATAAACAATAATGTTTTCCAGTTTCTTTGAAAGTCTTATTATTATTATTGAGTGTTCTGTCTGACAACAGGTCCATTGCTCTAACCAAAAAGAGTTCGCCAGTTTTCCCTATTCTCAGCTTCTCGTTTTAATTCCTGAAACTTCATCTTCTTTCCTTGTTTAAGGTTGTCAGTTAGCTGTATCAGTCTTCTTCGCAGTCCTCGCTTTCCTGAAAGTCTTATAAAAGTATATAATATTACAACGTCCACAACAGCTTAGTTGGTAGCATATTTGCCACGTAAGCAACATAGGTTTAATTTGAAAATGTGTTTTTAATCATCACATCTATAATGGCTTTGGAAGCCATTGTTGTAGTGCCCAGGTAGTAACACACTGCATATTTGCTCTTGCTCCTATAAATTGATCATGTTCAAGACTTTACTATGGTGTACTTACCCCTACCCCTTTCCACATGTTCTTTCACCTCCACAACTACAGTTTTTTTGTTAAATAATCTCATTGTTTTACTACTGATCATCTTCACTGACCATGTGGGATGTAGTTAGGCACATGCCACTGCATTTATTTTAACATTAAATGACATGCAATCACCAACATGAGGTTTCTTGGCGGAGGTTCTGCACATAATTCACTTTAATGAAGTAACAGCACTTTCACTTTCTTCTTCTTAATTTTCTCTCTGAACAACTTCCATCAAGTCCCTGTCAGTTTCCATATGCTGCCATGGCTCTGCTGTCGGTAGTTACTTCACTTTGTTGAAATTGAAGTATCAAATAATGTTGATGAACATATTTCAATTTGACTTTCAACCTCATTGAATAAAATGAAAGATTTAGTCACATAATCATTACACATATTCCTTTTTGAAATAAATGTATACAGTAATGTACTGGATCTGTTACCTCAAGATTGTCATCTTCAAACACAGATGATGCCGAAATGTAGAAGTCAAAGGCCTGCCTTCCATTGCACTAGAACTAATACTCTGGCCTACACTCCATCAAGAATGACAGGTAACTGACTGAATAGAACTCAATCATTTCCTATGCTTGGGGTTGCCCTAACAAAGCGGAATTTTTCAAACAATCTCTCACACACAAAGTTTGTGGGGAACTGCCACTGTGAAAGAATAAATCAAACATACAAATACCTTCTCAGAAGAACGTAAAAGCTATTGAGCACTGAAGAGACATTCTGAAAAGGCATTATGTATAAATAATTTAATTTTGGTCATAACAAGCTGAAAAACCAACTGTACTTCTCTCATTCTTCAATGTAAATAAAGGAACAAAAGAAACAAATAAATAAATGCAAAGATTTAAAAATAAATCTAATTTTACAGCCTCCAAAGCCATAACAGACATGGTGATTTAAATACAGAAGTCATAATTGAGAAGTAAACCTAGGTCACCCACACTGTAAACAGACAAGCTACAAACTGAACTATCAAGGATAATGTAATGATACATACTTCTATGAAACTTGTGAAGTAATAATGAAAAGTGAAAAATGAAATTATGTATTTCAGAGAAATGGTAGAGTGCTGATAACCAAAATTTTGGCCAGAAAGTCAGATGGCTCCACGGCCATACTGCAAAACTGGAGGTGAATCAGTTTAAATCGACCAGCTTCCACTGAGTCCAATGCTGAATCAAATCATATGATTTTTTATCACAATGTAATACAGTGATTCAATGTTCCTTTTTCCTCTTTCTTCCTTTATAAAGCAATTCATGAGATTTCAAATATACCAGCTATACAAAAATTCCATAACCTTCTGTTCTTGCATTGTTGATCAATGTCCTTTAATATAGAATCCATTTTAAAAATCACTTCAATAAAATAAATATCCTGACTAATGCTAAAATAAGCATCTGGTACTGGTGTTATAACAAAACACCTACTGTATGAAGATACTCACATCTACTGGTGGAATAGTTGAGGCCTTGCCCTTTTCTGTAAAAAAAAAGTATACAAATTAAACACTAACAATTCTGATTTTGTATTCTCTGATTAGGGACAGAAAGGTCTCAAAAATCTGATTAACTAAATATTTATGGCAGTAGTTGCAAGTGTTAATTTAAGAAATGGAAGTGATGAAAAAAGTAGATAAATATGTCTACTTGGGAAGTGTTGTGGAGAAAAACAGCAAGATCCAAAACAAGATAAATGAAAAGGCTTCAAAATGTTATGATTTAGCTGGAAGTATATTGCGGAATAAAGATACAAACATAAAATGTAGAATTATAATATTCGATATATATTTTAGAAATATACTATTATACTGAGCAGACACATGCACATGGATGGACATGTACTTCAGAGAGGAAAGTACACTAGAAGTAGGTAAGATGAAATTCCTGATAGGGGAAAAAAGAGAGAGAGAGAATCAGAAACTCATGTATTAGGAAAAACTCCAAGATGGCGGAAATACAGAATCAAATCAAGGAAAATAAACTGATATGGTCTGGATATGTTAAAAGAATGGCTAAGCACAGAATACTAAAAATATTACTGGAAATGAGATGAGTAGAAACATACTCAGGGGCAGACCATGCACATGATGGATTATCAAGTTAAGAGAGATATAGAAAGGAGAGGATGACACTGGAGGGCAGCATATGAAATGCAAGAATGGAAAGATAGAGACAGTTGAAGACTCCTATGCAAAAGTTAACCAATAACTCTCAAAAACACTTGTATCTTCCTACAAGCCCACAAAGTGTTACAGCTGAGAAGAGCAGCAACACTACCACTACCCTGAAAGCCTCAGATATATCAATTTCCACCAGTCTTCTTAACCAGTTTACAATCATAAATCAAAGCAGAAATATTATGCATGGAACAAAAACAAAGTAATACAAAAAACATTAAAATAGCACAAAAATCTCAGCACAAGGCATGGGAAAAGATTATAGAAACATAGTATTCTGAAGGATTAAACTGCCACAGTACTTCCAAATGAATGCAGTTTTGTCACAGTGTTGCTGATCTTCACAACTACATCATTGTGCAGAACATGGTTTTTATTCCCTACAGAATGTTCAATGCTTTATCCTCCTCCGATCATTTGCTTCATTCCATGTACTTCACCTACTCATGTAATCTTCCTCTGATATATTGATAGCTTGATAATCTTCACAATATTGTACTCTCTGTTAGTTTATAAGTTATGTCACATTACGTTGATGCTATTTGGAGCTTTTACAAACGAAGCATACTCCAATTAATATCACCCACTCATGCTCCAATTCTGACCTGCCAGTTGAAGTGAAACTCATACACTACCCTTTGATTAATTAAAATAATTAAACCAAACAATGGTTACATTTCTGTATGAGGTCGGCAGACTGTTACCATAAACGAAGTTTTTAGTTAATAAATTTGAATATTACACCAGGTAAATGTCATGCCATACGTCTACTAAGAAAAACAAACTGATTAAAACTTCAAGGGAAGAGACACAATGCACGTTACAATAGTGATTTATGTTGTGTTTCATACCATCTTCTTCTGTAATGCCTTCTTTTAATCCCTTGAATTCGTCAGACTTCATGTTTAACGAAGTTTCTGCCACTTCTATACCATCCATACCATACCCGGAAGCCATTTTGTCTGATACTGATACTTTCATCTGACTGCTGATCCTACACTGATTTTCATTTCAGTAAAATTTTTATTAGTTTCATGCCTCCCTTATAATATCAGGTTGAACCCATGGCGGAAAACGTACATCTGTAGCATACACAGCAATAAAAATTATTTTCTTCATTGAAACATCTTTGAATTGGTTAAAAGAAAAATCAATTCTCCAATAGTACATCCATGTTGCTCTTTGTGATAAACCCATTCTATATGCTTTGACCAAAGAGTATATCAGGCAGTGTTCTTTGCATAATACACACCAACAGAACGTTTATCCCTCGTAAAAACACATATAGGGCAGGACAGTCTGCATATTTGTCTGTACGCGACATTAAACTCGAAAGCCGCTGGACTAATGTAATTGAAATTAAGTACGGTCTAATTATTATCACACATTTTCCGACGGCGTTATGCTGTTGATAATAACTCGTACACCGTAATTTCTTCCATTCAATATAACCAATATGATGGACGAATAAATGTCAGTTGTGGCGAGGATCGACATTATCACACTAAAGGTTACTGACGATGGCGTATTGTAATACATTTGGCCAAAATTAAGGACATGATCCATCGTAGTATGACGTTTCGGCAGCTGGATTTGCCCCTTTTATTTTGCCTGATGACGGAGATAAATCCAGTCCCCGAAACGTCGTGTAATGAGAAACAACAAACGATGCATAATGTCCAACATTTTGGTCAAACCTACGACACTATTACAACTTATTAGGGTCATACAAATACGGTGATAAATCTTCGAAAAGTATAAACTTTATTATTGATTCCTTGGAAATGTAAATAACATCAATGCATGAAACAACAAGGAAGTCGCTTGACTACAATCCCATCCCGTGAGCATTTGTGCATACACACACACATCATACATTTTTATTACATTCCATGGATCCATAAGATAGTCAGATGCTACATTTTTATTACATTCCATGGATCCATCAGATAGTCAGATGCCAATAGGATGTGGAAAAAGTCCTAATAATAATACAATACACATTATAAAGTACAATTCATACTATTATATACATTTCACATAATACAACAAAGGTTTCACCTAAAGTAATGATAAGTTACAAATAAATCTACAATTATTTTTAAACAATAGAAATTCATCGACAGAGTAAAAGGAGTGTGTAATTAGGTATATTTTTAATGCTACATTAAATTGCGCCTTTTTATTCACGAGACTTGTGAGACTTGATTGTAGACTGTTGAAAGTTTTGATCCATGCATAATATGCACTCTTCTGAAAACAGGAGAGGTTGGCAACTGGTCTATGAAGTTGTTTTTATTCCTTGTGTTGACACTGTGTACAGCAGAATTAGTTTGAAAGAGTTCTTGGATATTTAAAATAAAGTTCATTAATGAGAATATGTATTCACAAGGAATAGCTAAGATCTCTAATCTCTTAAATAGACTTCTATACGAATTTCTACGTTTGACACCAGCGATTAATCTAAAAATTATCTTTTGTAAAGTGAATATCCTTTTGCACGAGTACGGTGTGCGACCATAGTCTCGATTAGCAACGAGGACGTGTCAGAACATTTTGCCTTTTTCCATTTCGCCTACAAGTTCATCTACGCCACGTCAACTTCATTTCGAAAATTCTGTTAAACATCTGGCGTCCAACTACAGACATCGGGAACAGCTTTCAGTACACACATAAAGAAGATTGAAGTGGCCACCAGAGCCAGGAATGATATAGATCTTGGATCTTTCTCGCTTAAAACTGCTATGACTCTGTTAAGGGTAAAGATAACTCTCGTGCTGAAGTTTCAAAAACCGACTTGGAAATTCGAGAAGGCGTAAAATGTTTTCTCTTTCTTCCTCGCTCTAAAGGTTGCTCATTGTGGCCTGATACAGTCACACGACTACATTGCCTCCTCACGAGCGAACCTTAACGAGGTTTAACCTGCCTCCTTCCACTGCAACATAATGGATAGTTAAACGCACAAACAGAAGTACGCACCGTGGGTGGACTTCAATTTCACAGCCTCTATGATCAGCCAGAAATGGACATAAACAAATTTCGATTTGAAACACGCAGTTACGAGACTCACTGTGGAAACCAAACGTGGTAATTGATTGCATGTAATCGTTTTAGTGGAATGAACTTAAAGGTGCATCCATGCTTAAATCACTTTGCACACATCGATGCATTTTCTTCTCTTTTAGACCTGTGCCTACCCATTATTATCACAGTTTCACAGATGCTTACGGTCACAGAAATTAAAAAAGCGTTCAGATTTAAAAAAATGGGTGAAAGACATCTGTTGTATACAGATATTCGTCTTTCACCACAATTTAACCATTACCTATTCTGTGGATGGCTGGACCTGCTGGTACCCAAGCTGAGAAATAAGTGTATGTCCGTATGGTAGTTCTGGCTATTAATCTGTGACGTGATTAATTGGGAATAAATATGCATATTGGTCATTTTATTACGAGCACGTTGGCAAACGGCTCAAGTTGATCATTTCTGTGCCTGACGCATTACAGCAAAGTAAAATAAACTTCTACTGGGGTTAGAAAAAGGATAATTTTGTTCTTTAAGTGGTTGATGTTGGAATAATGGCACTATCTGTGGGCATAACAAAGTGGTCGTAGGACAAAACATCGTAACTTAGCCAGTCGTAGTTGCCTAACTTACAGCTTCTCTAATAATTTTGGTATTTTTTCGTATGTATGAAAATTATTTTCCATTTGGCTTATTTGGATTTGTAAATGGTTATTTCATATTATAAATTAAGGTGCTGTCAACTATGGATCAGTTGGTCTCAGGATTAACGGCAGAAAAAACAGACACTCTGCAGCAGCCAGGAGAGCCAGCAAAGACTTCAACACATCAACAAAGTGCACCTTTATCAGAAACACAGTCACCAGCAGCCAGCAGTCCTCAAGGTTTTACACTTAGTTATTCACATATTCTTATATATGTATAAAGGAGATACCGCAAATGATATTTAGGGTGTATCTTTACAATACAATGCTTTTTCTGCATGATGCTTTGACATTGTTATACATCATGTTAGGTAGAATTTCCTGTACTGGCTATCAAATTATCTTTCTAGTATCTCATTGCTCCTTGTCAAACTCTTCTCTGTGTAGATTTATAATTTCATGCTGTTTTGAATAATTTTATATGTAAGTTCAGATTTGGTGACGGTGACTCTGAACTCATTTTCACTTTAGCTTCATGTTATATGAGTATTGTATCTAACAGCATAAATTGAACATTTTGTGAAAAGTATGGTAATAGATTACATTATGAGAGAGAATGCCAATGAGGCGTAAGTACATACTCACCAGGGTGTGTTAAAGTTCCATTCTTGTAAATATTTCACTGCATAATTGGAGTAATTTTTAGTGTACCAACTTGAAATGTTTCTGGAAATCTTCCATTGAAATTCTTTAACATGTCAGAATTTAATGTGTGCAAAATGAATTTGCAGTCAGTTTTTAAGAGATGCTTTGTAAGAAAGAAATGTGCATTCTGTTCATAAATAATTGTTGTAAATTATTTTATAATAATGCCTGATGTGTAATAGTCTCTAATAATGATAGATTGCTTCTGAACATATGATTAAATTTATGGTTTATTTTTTATGAAGTATCATCGTTAGGTTGGGAAGGAGTGGACTTTTGAGGAAAAGATAAGGGCAGCAGGAGGGTGGTGCAGAAATATGTAAAGTTATTCAGATCTTAATACAGAGTACACATGAAGCCTGAGTTAAACTAGGTAAGAACCGATGTTCACATGAACTACAGAAGGTTGATACGTAATTTATTTTTTACAACAGTGAGACCAAAAACAGCAGGTAGTTCTGATGAGAAGGCACCAGATTCTTCGGACAATGGAAACAAAACCCGCGGTAGTTTGCCCAAAGGAAAAAAACGCAAAAAAGCTCAACGAGATCATACAGCACCTAGACAACCACTTACAGGCATGTATTTCTTTGACAGAGGAGTGTATAAAGTGTTTGGTGGAACTTTACTGGCAGAAACTGGTTATATTTAACTTTTATTTCAGGTTATGTGAGGTTCTTGAATGATCGAAGGGAAAAAGTTCGATCAGAGAATCCAAACCTCCCATTCCCAGAAATAACCAAACTTCTAGCTGTTGAATGGAGTCAGTTACCAGCCAGTCAGAAGCAGGTAATATAGCACATGCTGTGAATCTAAGAAAATCTGCAATTAATTTAAGAATTATCTTATTGTATTTATATGCCTGTGTAATCTCTTAGAAGTTTAGTATCAATCCAGCATCTTGTATATTATCTCATTGGCTTGCCATATATTTTTCCAGTTGTACAACTCTTCCTTTAACCAGCACTTAATCAGTTACTGTGATTTTGTTAATATATTTTTCCAGTTGTACAACTCTTCTGTCAACCAGCACTTAATCAGTTACTATGATTTTGTTTTGTGTACTTAATGGTTTGGTTGTTAATAAATGTGAAACAACTCATTTTCTGTAAAACCCCTCTTGCGCTTATCTTTGTAACTTTAATTTTGGGCTGGGATATGTTGGATTATTTCAAGTCAAATTGACCCAAGGAACATTCCATACAAGTTCAACAGGAACCTCACAGTACAATCTGTATATGCCAGTGTTGTGATATTCTTCATTTGTATTACAGCAACAGAAAACTGAGTTGAACTAAATTGTCATCAAAATCTTCCTGACATAATTTGACAGAACACTGTCAAAGTTTTATAAAGTAGTATTTTATAAGAACATTGCCTAAGTTTTACATGTAGTATTTTATACTAATGTAACAATTTTTGAGTTTACATATACATGCATATGACAATAATTGTGCATGTGTACATATTTTTATTGTAATCTTTAAAATGTATTCATATTCTAATATTGTGCTCTTCTTTGTTTTCAAGGAAAGAAACTTATTCTTTCCCTCATATTCCAAAAACTGTGGTTAAGTGGTTTATGTCAGGAGCACATTTCATATTATTATACAAATTGCTGTGATAGAATTAACTGCTGATATTGGGAATTTCATGATGTATAGTCTGGTAAGTAAAATTCCTATTGAAACATATTTTGCTACATTTGGTAACTTGTTTATAGCACTATTTAGATGCAGCAGAACAAGACCGTGAACGTTATACACGTGAACTGCAAGCATATAAACAGACAGAAGCATACAAAATCTTCACCCAGAAACAGTCAGAAAAGAAACAGCGTGAAGAGAAGCCAGTGGAAGTTACTGTTCAACCTGAAGAGGTACAGAATAATGCTGAGTTATCCATCCAGATATTACATGAAGTAAACTGTACCTGAAACAGAATTGTCTTTTTTTATGTGTAGGATGCAGAAAAGGAGACTGATTATCCAGGGTTTGACATCCCAATTTTTACTGAAGAATTTCTTGATCACAATAAAGGTGAGTTAATTCATTTTCTTAATGAGATTAAGTCCTGTGCTTAAACAGTGAGATTACCACTAACTAGATGGCTTACCGAACCCGAAGGTTCATCACTGAATTAACCAAAGCCCTCCACCGGACCCTGTCCTGGGCCAACAAAATCCAGTCTCCTTCAACTCATATCTCCCATAGATCCCGCCTGACATTATCCTTCCATCTATGTCTAGGTCTCCGCAGCGGTCTCTTCCCCTCAGGCTTCCGAACCAATACCCGGTGCATGCCACTATATGCAAATAATTAGGTACAGTGCTACAGTAGGCTGTAAGTACCCACAAGTGTGAAAATGACGTACGGAAGAAGAAGAAGCAGACTACAGTGGACTGTAGTGATTTATTCTCATAGTTCAGGAACCTTAAGGTATTGTCAGCTGTGAAATTTCTTAGTTCTCATTTACAAATTCCAAAGCCTTATAATGGCATCTTTCAGAATTTCTTCCTAAATGCATCATCCACTTTGACTTTCATCAGCCATTTAGATGAGACATTAAATTCTCCTTTTAATGGCCAACCTTGGTAGAGAAACTTATTCTTCTTTTCAGATGTGTGGGCATTAGTATTGTTTCTGGTTGAACCACTTTTTCATTGCAGCATACAGGTCTTTGTAGTCTTTTATTTTGAAGGTCCAGGGCCACGGTCACACTAATAGGAAACTCAACAAACCCAATTTTGTTCTTTATATAACAATTTTGTGCTCCTGTACCACAATCATTAGTTCCAGTTTGTGTTTGCTTGTTAGAACAGGTTTCTTTGATTTTCAACCGTTTGGCTTGTGTTATGCATAGGCACGTTGGGATTGGTGAAAGAGGTAGAGGAATATAAACTAGATTTCTCAGTTACCTATGTTATGGTGACATTGTTTTATAAATATATGATCAGTTCAGAAAGTAAAAGAAACATCGGCAAATACCTGGTAGTTCAGTAATGAAGAATGTGCTGTATTTCATTAATTCTTTAATTGTGGAGATATTTTTAGCATAATTGTTTTAAAATTGGTGGATATCTTCCTTGAATCGCATATATTTTTCCTGTACAAACTTTATCCCATATTAATTACGAGTATGTTGCAGCTCGTGAAGCAGAGCTACGACAGCTTCGCAAATCCAATACTGATTATGAGCAACAGAATGCAATACTACAAAAACACATTGAGAATATGAAAGCAGCAGTTGAAAAGTTGGAAGTTGAAACAGTGCAACAGCGTAATTACAATGTAGCTCTGCAGCAGCATTTAGACCATATGAGAGCTACACTCACTACAAGTTTCCAGAATATTCCTCTTCCAGGTATACACTTCATTACATGTATCATAGCAGAGAAATGTCCACTCACCTTGATATGATAGATTTATTAAAGGGTGTAGTTACAAAATGCACTTTGTTTTCCACATTTTCCAGGTAAGTAAAGTTCTTGTTAATCAAATAACACATAAAGTCCATCCATACAACTATTTTATTTGGTTTTACCCATTTATTGGATTTTCCATTACATGTTTCAATCCATGATGGAATGTGGATTTATGTTTACATATGTTTACGAAACTGCTGATGGACAGAACTGTGCAAATATTAAAATTACATTAAAACAGATAAAATTATTAAAATTGATTGACACTGATTACAAATTAAAGTACTTTAACAAACTGCATATATTGAAAGATGGAGAAAGTTTTTCATAATAAGAATTCTTGTTTACACTGGTATTCGTATATACATAATTAGTTGACACCGAAAGAATGTAACTAAATTGGTTGTTTTGCATAAGAAGTCAATGTTGCATAGTGGTGTCTAGACAGTGCTTTTGTGGACCAATATTCCAGATGTATTTAATTCCTTATTCTTGGGGCAACTATGTGTCTTATTATGTTGTGTGTGTATTACTGTAATGCCCATGCAATGTGGAAGTTCACAATCCAGCCACAGACAATGCAACCATGGCTCACCATAGACCAACAACGGAAACCTTAAGTAAAACTTGGGCCAGTGGACATTAAGCCGAGTAACTTAGTTTCGATAATACACCAATCATGTGCAAACGTTCAGTGTGGTATTACATGAAGTATAGTTTCATCATAAGTTAATTTTTCTCCATTTGCAGGCAGTAATGAGGTTCCAACCTTGACCTCTATTGATAATTATATGACTCGTCTTCATTCACTGCTTCTCGACTCCACCACCCGGGACCGGGAGGCACTCGTGGCCACAGTACGCGAATTAGTGGGCCGTCTGGAGTTCCATGGATGACCAAACCAATCCAGTGCTCGCAGGCGAAGGCATAATAAGTGACCTGCATTTCATGTGTGACCAGTGAGACTGAACGTTACAAGACATGTTCTGTTTTTGCATTATTACTGATTTATTCAGAAACTAAATGAGAGTGTGCATTTCAGTATAGGTCATATATGGTATTTCATTTTAAATAGAATTATATTAGAATGCTGGTATTTGTGCTTTTCTTACAGATGTATCTTTTTTCCTTCCACTGAGAGACAGAATAAATTAGATAATTGTCTAGCTTTGTTTTATTAAGTCAGTTCTGTACTTGGTTTAATTCCTAAGCTGTTGTTTCTATGTATGTTTGGTGAAAACTGTTAAAATCTGATTCATATTGGTTACGTTTACAAATATGAATTTCAATGCAACTAGAGACTTCATTTGTTAGGTTCAATAAACAGACAGTAGTCAGTACTTGAAAATGGAAATGTGCTGTTTGCGACTGTAATCTTGAGACTTGGAAGGAATGCAGGAAGTCCGAAGCGTTAAAGGCTGACGCTATCCTTCCTCCTTCACCCCACTTCCTTGCCATGCAAGTCTCAAGATTACAGTCTGCAAGTGTTGCATTCCTATGCATACTTGAAGGTGATCAATTATGTAGTAGCATCACACCACTGTTTCAAAATGGCTGCTTGCCCATAAACCATTACATTGTTTTCCTGCCATAATAACACATGATTTGGATGTGAAAACTATTATTAATCTTTGTATCCCTTTGCCTCAAGTACAAAAACAACTGCTGCTGGATATAAATATTTTAAATAAAGCTTTTATGCATTGTGTTCAATATAACTGTGAATCGTAACTCTTGACAGTGCCTTAATTTATTGAAGTGCTGTTCTACACTTATTGTCTAGCAAAAATAAATTAACAGCAGTTTTATTCTGTGTTTTCACCAGCTTCCACTACATCTTCTAGGGGTATCTCATGTGCCACATATGATGTATAAACATCATAGCCAAGTGAAATTGTGTTGTCATACAGCACACGAAATCTTGTAGGCAGAACATAGAAATTAATTACTTGTGCTGGTGGCCACAGCACCCAATCTGCAACATATAAACGCCAACCTTTTTGTTTCATTTCCTTCACAAATGTCTCTACGTTTGACCTTTCAAGGCATGCTAGTGTTGCAAATAATATTGTGATACAAAATGGTGAGGTTACAAGTTGGTCCACCAATACCTTTTTTAACACAGTCTTTAGAGTTCTGCCTGGAAAGAATCTGTCAAGCCATTTGTAGGTGTGGTGACAGAATATTCCTATTGTCATGCCAGTAGCGGACATGTGTAATGTTCTTGTACAGTTCCATTTCTCATGGTCCCCTTGTAATAACTCATAATGTTGTTGAAGAACGTCTCCAACTCCAGACAGAGTTAGCGATATCCCTACATTTGTTAAAAAAAGATGCTTGTTGAACAAAATGTGGCTTACTGCACGGCACTTTTGAATCACTTCAGATTTAAAGACACGAGCCACTGTAAATCCAACATATTGCATTCTTGATGAATCACTGGTATCAGCTACCTAAAAAGGGTAAAAGGGCCATATTAGTAACAATGTTCTGTGACTGCAATCCAAGAATAAGTAAATAATACCGAATATATGTGGTTTTAGAAAATTGTGATTTTCTAATTTGCTCGAAAGCGTTTAAAATTGCCAGCATGAATTAAGGGTTACCTATTGTGTGCTATATCCATTCGAATTCTTAAGCGTACAATATATCCCACCTGTTTTTTCCGCTTAGTTACCACGCACGCAGAACTTGTGGTTAACGTTCATAACCTTGACTACAAAATAGGTTAAAGGCGAATGTCGAATACTGTATCGGTTACGAAATGAATGCACAAACATTTTGAGAAATTTCCTGTTGAGCTATTGGCACCATTTCATGCCATGTTGACATAAGAAATAGTATGTTGTATGGTTATTGCTAGTTGTCACAGTGTAAGACAGCTCACTTCGTTTCAGAAATACAAAATTCATGTAATTGTTGTGATGTTGATACTTTTACCATTATTTCTTTGGGCCAAACTTAGCTACGTCCGAGTGATATTTTGGCTAAAGCTAAGAACGAATATGAGACGAAATGACGTTTGTAGTTTGTTGACATTAATCAGTGGTGCGTGGTATAAATGCCCACTAAGTAAAGCTTTAAGTGTTCGTTTCTTTTTTTCTTTTTTGAACATAAGAGCAGGATGTGAAGCATTGTCGGCAGGTCGAAGAAATGGAAGGTGCGAGACTACAAAATTAATATGGTGAGTAGCTTAATGTACTAGAATATAGTGCAGTTTCGGATGAAAATTCTTTACGAATTTATTCGGCAATTGGTATGTTCTATATATGATGTAGAAATGTTTCTCTCGTTTTACAGCTTCCAGTTTTATCTTGCATCGTCTTTGATTTGGTGGTACAAGGGTTGCCAAGAACATTGTGCTCCCTCAGCCCGAATCTTGTATATGCTCATAATGTTTACTTGTATGTGAACTCTTTTACAGTGGACATCTTCTTTCCTGTCTTACCATTAAATACAATTTTCAGTCTTAATTCTTAAGGCCTCTTGCTTACACTCCATGTTTTAGACCAGTAGCCCATATTTTCCGGATCTATGACATTTTCTCCTATGCATTTTGTTTATGGCTTTTATACAAATATAACAATGTCTATAAACAGACACAACAATTCCAGACACAATAATGGCTATAAACAAATACAACAATGTCAATAAACAGACACAACAATGCCAGACACAATGTATATAAACGAGTACAACAATGCCAAACGCAACACGTCACAGTATTATTATATTTTGAACTTTAGGCAGTTCAATGGAAATTTATACAGGCTTAAAGATGTGTATTATGACTAACAGTGATGAAAACATCATGTTGGGTCAGGCAATTCAAGACTCATGAATCTGATATCCCCAATATGCCTCAAATTTCAAATCTCAACCCAAACTTAACATGTTGAAATCATAAGTAACTGCATACTTGCAATAGAACATAAATGTTAATACACATGTAGTCCTGAAAAAGAAACAGGATATATCATGCCACCACTTCTGCCTTCCACAAGCTCTGGGATGAATGCTTAAACATCCTCACTCTAACTAAGAAATGTTATCTGTTTGTGGCCAAATAGATGTTCAAGTGCTCTTCATCTTGGGGTCTTGGTCCAGTGGTTGGAGCTTATGGCATGTGTGAGAGGGGAAATGTCATCATTATGTAATTTTCTCTTGCTTTTGTTATTGCTACAGTTGACACATAACTTTCATGATTGTCCTCGAGGAGGAGGACTTCCTTTAGTGGGCTGCAGCATTGGCAAGGCTAAAACTGTGACTGAAGCAATTTTTTTTTCGTGATTTGTTGTTCACTGCATCCTGATTTACATGTTCCATTTTCAAATTACTGTAGGCAAACAATTTTACTTAAATTATTTAATTTATTTTTCGTATTCCTTTATTTGAGTTTGAGAGGAGTGATTTGGGATTGCTGTCTGTTTTTGAAACAGTTCAATTGCATTAACTGTTCCTTAAAAACAAAATTGCATTGCCCTTAACACTAATAAATTATGTCGTGCCTGTATGATTTTGCATCCTAATCGGTACCGACAAGTGTCAAGCAGACGACGACGTGCTTGGCGACTAGCGACATCTTTCGTGAGGCGCGTGTACTTCGGTTCTCTTTACTGCGGATAGATGTCGGGAGTGTACGTTTCCCCTCCCCTTATTCGACACAACCTGTCGCCGAGGTACACTGATGCTCGGATATTCTACCAGCAGTAGCATTCTGCCACGGCAAACCCATGTTAGCGTAAACACATTACTAATTAGTAGGCATCGTTTATGCCATAGAAACTAAAAATAACATTTAAAAACCAAAGACGGTGAATTAGGCACGAAGTCGAAACAATATTTTGAGAGGGAACAAAATGACTTGAAATTCCAACAGAAACTAATACGAAGTGATACAAAAAACTAGCGAAGCTTCACTAAATACTTCGTATAAACTGATGCTGCTTATTGCCAAAGCTAAAAAGCCATTCACCATCGCGGAAGAATTACTAATGCCCTGCATGAAAGACACTTGTTTTGAATTGTTGGTTGAGTGAGAAAGCAACATCGGCGTGCGTAGTCACAGTATTTTATACAAGAGACTCGTAAGAAGAGTGATGTGATAGTTACTTTAAAATCTTTCATGCTTTCAGTGACTGCAAAGTATGATTTGAATTCTTTGTCACGTGTCTTCTCTTCCTGTTTCATTTATGGGCCACGGCAATTATCATTCTTATTCAAAACTCATATTACGTACGAAGTTCACATACGATGTTGTAATCTGACATAAACTGTCGTTTCTTTCCGCCTTTCTCTGCGCGTAAATGGGATTTAACCGAGCACTGTGCTGAGCTGTAGCTCAGTTGTACCAACATGTTTTCATTACTTCTCACCGACGCCATGTTTTTTTAATCCTGTGAAATTGTCATTATAGAGAAGATGGCTGTCTTGTAGCGTGATACAAGTTTACCGACGTTTCAGAGGTCCTTGCTGCCTCCATCATCAGGGCGATTGCAAGTAAGGCAGCAAGGATTTGCCCTCGAAGTGCCTTAAGTCTTACTTGGAGGGCGAGTCGGATATGAACCGGGGGATCCTATTGGAACAATTTTTGTGCATTACAAGCAGTACACTTTAAATTTGTTATTTACTTCGTACATTTTATTTATAGATTTTCATTTCCATAAAACTAACCGCATGTGTATTTTAACTCGCAATTATCTACTATTTCTTCACTTCAGTTTCCATCACTGTCTCCGAGCATCTGAAATCAGTATGCAATCTTGGCGTAAGAGTGAATTAGTCTGAGTACATATAGCAATGAGCAGAACGTGCTAAACTGACGTCCGGTTGCTGACAGGAAGTGACAGACATGGAAGAGAATGCAGTGTTGGCAGTAATTGAGCATCGACCCACAGAAATGATTTCTTTTTATTAGACACTGCAGCAGAATAGTCTTATGCAGTGAACATCTCGCCCTGTGGATGTGCTGTCAGAGGTTCTTTACAAATAGCATACATAACCTAGAACACCACAGAAATCTTACGTAATACTTCCGGACCATTTCGACTCCGCTTGAAGATGTGCACATTTCGCTGAATATTCATCAAACAGAAACAAAAGGTTACAGAACTTCATGGCTGGAGTATTTAAACTTTTATCATCTGAATAAGTGATAAATATTCTT